TTAAAAGCAGAATTTAACCTTTGGAAGTAACGTACACAAGGTATTATAGACAGTCGAATGTCACTGTATTTATCATGTGATGAAAACATTTTTCCTTCAATCAATAGATACCTACAATTTCATTGCCGGTAAGTGTTGCGACATCTGAAAGAATTTCCTCCCTTCTAAAGAGGATAAAAACTTGGCTGCGCTCCACTATGCTACAAGAGCAATTAGTAGGTTTAGCTCTTTTGTATATGCATAGGGATATTAAGATAGACGTGAATACAATCATAGATCGGTTCACCAGCAAAAAAAATAGGCGCCTTCATTTTGTAATATGATAACACCCGAACTTTGCCTAAGGTTGTCTCTCAAAGCCACCTCCCTTCTGTTGGTCAATAAATAAAAAAGCAGATGCAGTTAAGGGTTTGCTTACGTTTAAACCACCACGATGATCCAAACTATGGTTTTGTCGGTCAGTCTCTTAAATGGGCCAGATCGTTGTTAGTCCAAAGAAAACAATATGTTTGAGTAGAATATATATGCAGGGAACAATATGAAAAAATTGGTGTCAAGTACGTTTGACATCTCGATTGGAGTCCCTCAGGGCTCTATTCTTGGACCAATCTTTTTCCTCTTATACATTAATCAGTTTGATAATGTTCATCCAGATACCCATTTTACAGCATATGCTGATGACGTTTCTGCCATAATATCAAGTAATTCAAATATAATTTTGGAAGATAAATGTAACAACTTAATTAGGAATATCAATACATGGTTTAACCAGTACTCACTTTACTTGAATCCTTCCAAAACAACGTTTATATATATATAAAAAACTGTAGAAGGGTTTCAAGTTAGATTGGGTGACGATCAACTCGATTTTAGAGGAGAAGTGAAATTTCTTGGAGTTCATCTTGATTCGAACTTAAATTGGAAGGCCCACTGCGAATTTCTCACATCAAAAATGTAGTCTCAAAGCTATGTGTTGAGGCAATTAAAAACCATCTTAACAGCTGAACAATTGAAACAAGTTTATTTTGCTAATGTGGATTCGAGATTAAGATATGGAGTATGTTTCTGCGGTTGGTCAACGCGCTCTGAAGATGTATTTGTGTCTCAAAAAAGATGCATCCGATCCTTAGCAGGCATCTCGCCAACAGAAAGCTGCAAAAAATATTTTATAAGTTTCAACATTTTGACTGTCCCTTCGTTGTATATATATGAATTGTGCTTACATGGTTTTAAAAATAATGAAAAATTCAAGCGGAATTGTGGTATGCATAATTATGATACAAGGATTTGTAATAATTTATATGTAAACTTCAGCAAATCAAAAGCGGCATTTCGATCACCTAATAAAATTGGTCGGCTTCTTTTTAATAATTTACCATGCCACATTACCTCGGTTAAAAATATTAATGATAAAAGTTCCAGTTGAAGCAATTTTTGATAAACAAGTGCTTTTATCGTGTTGATGAATGTTTGAACATTGCAATTTGAGATTAGTTGTAGGTTTGTAGCGAACGAAAAATTGACAATTTCAATACAATTATATATTGTCTGTATGGAAATAAAGGTTATATTGATATTGATCCAATCAAGATATGTGGTTTTATTTATTGGCCAGCAGATTGATATAAAAGTCTGTTCAAATTCTGCCCAAATCACTGTCTAACCTAATGTAATGATTGTTTTATTTTCAGACTGTGAACTGATGTAGTTTCATAGTTTATATGTTTCTGTTGTAGTTATGCAATGAATATTTTTTTGTTTTTCTCATGATTAAGAATTTTATTTTGATTTACATACAGTTTTATACTTTATAGAAGTCGTAACGTATCTGTTATTGTTATTTTTTCATGAAGATGTATTTTTTGTTGTTTTGTCTGACATTGTTATGTAGAAAAGTCTCTGATAGATTATCTTATTTTGCTTTTTTGTTTTAATATATGAAGATTGCTCGAGCTTGGTTTGTTTTATTTACACATTGATTTCGTATGATTCCAAATAAAATTTTTTTTTTATGTATTTTCTACAGAAATTACTGTAACAAATTCATATGTCTACTACATATGTATGTCCATGCTTTTAATGTTAAATGATTATAACACTTCAGTACGTCATACTGAGAATTTACTTTCCATTTTACCCCTCCCAGACTGAAATGCCCCAAGTTGTCCTATTTCCTGACCTGGGACTAACACAAACGTCTTTACTATAGGAACGACATATACCTGATATATCGATGCTAATGCTACGTTGAAAGCACCTCGGGCTTAGCGTTTTTCTCCACATTACACGTCCCTAAGTCACACCATCCTGTTGTTCCGTTTTCCCGAATCGTATAATCCTTGAAAACAACGGCTGGCGTAAAACAAAACGAAAAGTCCGCGTCACCGTGCGTGCCGTAATTGTCTAATTTTTTGCAAATTAGTGCGAGTTTCTGGCATTGCGTTTGTGCCGTCCACCTCGCCACCGTTCCATTAAATCAAACGACAATGAGGCGCGGAAACGGCCACCCGCGTTTCGCTACATTTAATTAATTCAAAACGTGTCCGGTGGCATTTTTGCCCATTGCGGATCAGGTGTGCAGCTGTGCGCACGGAAAAAAAAAATAGTCGACGGAGCAGGACCGGATTTTATTCCATTTTTTCCGAGGAACATTGTTCTCACTTCAATGTACTGAGCAAAAAGTAAATGCTGGAATTTTTATCGCGTTTTCCATGCATCAGCGATGGAGTTGATGAAAGACACATGGGGGGCATAATGTTTCATGGAAAATGTTTCCCGGGGAAGTGGTCCTAAGACATGACAGCTGTGTCAAATTTATGGGTACAACGATTCTCGGCAAAATGATGTATCTTAGGTTCTTCACATAGTTAATATGAGCTTCGTCTTCAAAGATGATACTGATAGACGGTGGCGTTCAGAAACACATTTATCCGAAAATTAAGAGAACTACGACCACTTTCTATCAGCCATTCTACTCTCTTACTAGAACAATGAAACCCAAATGTAGGTATAACGCACAAACATGGAAACCTTGTACTGTGGAGCTTCAACGATTCCCAGACATGGCCGCTGACTATAAGTTATGTGTAATGATACCGATAGTGTTTTATTTATAATTTTGTCCCCTTTTACACTGATACCGATAGTATTGTGTTTCTACTCCTTTCTCCTAAGTCGCTTCTTTTCTCTGTTGTCTGCATTTTACGTGACACTCCGTCATCTGATTATCTTCTCTCTTCGCTGCACCAGCTTTAAATAACTTTATTTGCTAGAGCTCGTTCCCCAATCCATCCTGGGTGCCAGTTCTTGGTGTGAGGGAGTATAGTAACTCAGATAGGAGGGCCTAACCTTCTAGGTAGCTGTGTTCCTGTACAGGGACAGAGGAGTCTTTCTTAGAAGAAAATGCGACGATGTCTAGATATTGTCCATCGGTTCTATGTTACCACAAGTCGCTAAGCACTGCAGACCGGGCTGTCATCTTGCAGACACTCTGTCTCCTGATCGCCGCCTCATTAACGAATTTATGATTCTCCTTATGCTTGTCTAGCCAATAAAACTACATGTACATAATATTCTTCACTGTAAGCGCTTCAATCAGAAAGGTGATCCTTTTTGGTACAATTATATATTTTTTGTATTGAAGATCACCTTTGTGAATGAAGTGTTTACAGTTAGGAATGTCAATACATGTGGTTTTATTGGCCAGAAAAGGATGAGGAATTATCGACATGTAAACCACAGGATAAGTTTCAGATGTTACAGCATTTTATCTCGAAACGTTTCAACATGTCGCAATAGAAGCGTGAGGAATAGATAGATTTATATTATTTACAAAAAGATGTTAAATTTACAAAGAGGTCGTCACATCAAACCAAAATAGTCGCTCCGAAGTCTCTTTTGGAAAATTTTAGCATTACTAGATGTTTTTACAAACATTGACTTTTTAAACCTTTAAATCTTTGCATATTGAAATTTTCTTTTGATCTAATGTCGTAACCTAGCATTTCACTTTTTTTTTAGAAACTGTTCAAGATAAGGTGGAGCCTGATTATTGATAATTTTATATAAAAGAATTAAATTTACCTCTTGAATAGTTTGGTGTATGTTTAAAAAATTTAATGCCTTTAGCATATCCCGTATATGAGTATACCTACTACAAGTTAACAAAATCCGTATACATTTATTTAATAGAATTTGCAACCTTTGCTTTTGCTCATTTGTGCCTGTAATCAAAAGTGATGCACAATAAGTAAAGTGAGGAAAAATTATTGTATTGTAGACTACCTTTCTGCACCCGGGACACACAAATTCCATGAAAATACCCGATCTTTTCGCCTAATTTCCGACACACATAGTCAACATAATACCTAAATACTTAACACTATCTACAAAATCAAGTACCTCTTCCTCAATTTTCACTGCCATATTTAAATCGACCAATTTCTTGCAATTATTCTTCGAACCTATCATACTTTTCGTTTTTCTCACATTTAATTTGATCTCGTTTGTTTTTAACCATAAACTAAGCTTGCTCATTTCACTATCCATTACATCTACAATTTCGTTACTTACTGAATCACTAACTGAAATTAATGTATCATTCGCAAACAAATTTATAAAAGAATTGCTAAGAACATTGGACATATCATTCATAACAGCAATGGGCCTAGTACGTTGCCTTGAGGTACTCCATGATCAACAGACACATTACTTGATATTTATTTTACTTTCAATTTTTTCCACTTGTAACCGCTCAAATAAATAATCGCCCACCCACAAGAGGGCTGTACCGTTAGTTCCATACACTTCACATTTTCTCAACAACAATTTTCTGTCAATAGTTTTAAACGCTCTTTTTAGGTCAAGAGACACACACACAATCACTTTACCATCATCTACATCTTTTTTTCACTTTGTACATACAAATTGGCATGCAGTTTCACAAGAATGATTCTTCTGAACCCAGATCGCCTCTCAAAAAGAACATCGTTCACACGTACATAGATGCTCACTCAGCTGTTCATGCACTGTTATTTCTATAACTTTCTCGACGACTGGCATAAGATTGATGGATCGCAAGTCTTCTGGCTTATTTGGATTGTATGCTTTGAGTACTGGGACTATAATACTCCTCTTCAACAACGAAGGCATCTTTCCTGTTCTGAGCGATGTATTTACAATATTCAAAAGGGGGTAGCCAATAATCGCTTCACCAAACTGCATGTTAGTGCATCATCACCCGTAGATCTTTTCTTCAATTGAAAAACAGTTTTGCGTGGCTTATTCAATGAAATTTCTCGAAACCTCCAAAATTCCTCTTCTAAAAGCACTGCTGCCGTTATAGCTTCCTCATTACTTGAAGGTATGGTGCATACTAAATCAGTTACACTCTTGATAAAATAATTGTTCAACTTATTCTCTACAGTGTCACAGCCATTAATTTCTAATGCAATGTGTCCATACGGAGCACCACATACTCGTCAAAACATTGCTTTGAGGCGTTGTGAACGCAACGTTTCTACGTTCAAAATGACTAGAGAAATTCAAGCGTGATAGGCGTGTGAAGGGCACTGATTACGTCTTCCTCCTCCTAGAGCCTAGAGTAATTGTAAAACTTGGTAGGATAACTTCTAATTCCAGCGATGAAACAAGCAGTATTCCCCTTCTCGGTTATGAAGTTAGTTCCATAGTTAATTTTCGCTGGTACATCTGACAACTGGATAAACCTCCACAACAACTTGACAACCGCTGATTTACCACTGTCTCTTGATGAATCACAGTCGTGTTCAGTCAGGAGGCAATGTTTAGCTAAGAATTAAGAAAAATCATGTAAAGCAACTCTGTTCGAACCAACCAATTAAGTTTTGACAAACATGTTTTGATCGGTCTGTAGCTGGAGTGAGGGTCATGTATTGCATTTGCTTACCATTGGAAACCTCAAACGATATTCAAGGCGACCTTTCACGGAAGTGTCAGTCATTACTTCAATTGCTAATCTCTGAATCACGTCAGATATTGTATAGACAGTGTAGTTGAAGCGGTAGCTCCTCAGATATGTGGACAACATCATAGACTGCCCCTTGTCTGAGATAGAGTTGTGTGGTGAAGGCCACTACCTAGATTTAAGAAGTCCTTTCTGCATTCTAAAAACTGGAACTAAGGACTTTTCGGTAGAACTACATCAATCATCAGTGACCAAGGATTGTTGAATTATTCCATATGAGGTCCTAGTCCGTCAGTCTTGTTTCTCTTCAATTAGCTTTGTCGGTCGCTATCACTGTTTTCCGACAGGTCAGTTACAGTAATTATAGTTTTTCAAAAGTAATTCTTACAGCCTTCCTCTCTGAAATGAAATAAATATAATATGCTCCTTGGTAGCATGAGCCTAGGATTAACCAAAATTTATTATGTCAGGAAGAAATAGCAGATTAGAACGAGCGCTCGGTGAGAATAACCAGTTTCTCAGTATCTTTCTTTCGATACATTTTGTTGATCGGTCTAATATCATCACATTTTCTGTATTTAATCGTAGTCAAGAACAGTTTTCATAGCTATTCTGGAACAGTTTTACGAAAAAGCACATAATTAGTCTTATGGTGTAGTGAGGCTAAAATTAGCCAAATCTGGCATGACATACAAAAAAATATACGGACTAAAACGATAATTCCTCAGTATCTTCCTTTGGTCGTCTTTCATTGAACATAAAACATTGTTAAACTATTTCATAGTTTTGCACCTTTCAGAGAGTGGCCACATGAATATCTTGAATCTTAGACTAACAATTACGAGTCGACTCAACCTCCAAGATTGGTCTACTGACATCACAATTTTTGCAGAAATTATAAGTTTTCAAAAATACTTTTTATAACTTATCCGTCTAAAATAAGGAGTTTCACGAAGTCATACATAAAATACGGTCCATGACGACGTGAGGTTAAAATTAGCCGAATTTGAAGTGGGAAAAAAATGATACGGGTCAGAACGAGGGCTTGGTCGGGCGGATGGCTCGAATGCGCCTAATAAAATCTAATTGAATGTTTTAACGAGGTTATTCTTTGCGGCGCAATTAGGGGCATTTCCGAAGCGGCAGATGTGCCGGGTGGGCGCAGAAAAATTCGGAGTACACCGAAATTTGAGATATATGAACACGTACTTGCACTTTTAATTGATGTATGATATTTAATCCAACGGCATGGATGTAATGTGATAAAGAAACCCAACCTCTAAGGCATGCCAGGACAACTTCTGCACCTATCTGTATACATTTAGTTTGCTAACAAGCGACAGCTAGTTGGGCTCTAACAAAAGCTGGGATTTGCCGTTGAAGACTTTTCTATAAGACAAAGGCTGACCCATCTGATGACGAACACTATTTTCTTTTATACATTTCGTTGCACGCCACTAGAACGCTGGATCTTCTGGCCACGCATTCTGTCATCCAAAGCACTGCTGCCTTTTGTATCCCGGATAACTTGTAGACACCAAGTTTTAGTCAAAACCGGCTGTGGCAATGGAAACTCTCTTAGGCCGCAAAATTGGAACTACGGACGTCCTGCCTAGGAAGGACTCACAAGGAGGCCTATCCAGGACCGGACCATCAAATTGTACAAAAAAATTCTACGAGTACGTCTTGACCCCCTACTCATGCTTTAGTACCAATTATACTACAAACCCCAGTATACGGAACAGCCAAATTTGAAACTTCACCTATCAACTGCATTTCGTTTTACAACAAATTGCCCATCAGCATAAAATTCTGACTAAAGCAGGTAGCTGTAGACTGTAGAGAGTGTTTAGATGGCATTCTTTAATCTTAAATAATATTTCCTATTTCCTTCTCTAATTACGTTTTTAATTCTTTCCAGTGTATTACGAGGGATATCTTTTAAGTTTTGCAAATGGAAATAAAATAACGCGGTAGGTAGCTTTAAATGACTTTATTGATTTTCGTAGTATTCTCCACGAAGATTAATACACATCCGCATGCGCTCGAACCAATTTTCGAAGCACATATTCCACTCGTTTGCTGGCAGATCCAAAACGGCATTTTTGAACGAAATCGTTAGGACTTAGATCGGGACTATATGGAGGATGGTCCAATAATTCCACGTTTTCTTCCGTTAAATACTGCCTTATTTTTTGGGCTGTGTGCGAGCTTGCATTGTCTTGGTGGAGGGTGATTCTTCCTTTGGGGTTGATTGTTCGAAGCTCGGCGATGACTTTTGGCAAACAAATGGTGGTATACCAATCCGCAGTAACAGTTCTTTTCTTCTTAAGAGGAATTGTTGCAATATGACCCGCCTTTGACACAAATGTCGCGACCATCTTTTTCGAAACACTTCGAGGACGGATGCCTTTTGTTGGCTTTTCTTCACCTTGGAAGACCCAAACACCCGACTGTCGTTTATTTTCTGGTTCATAACCGTAAATCCACGATTCATCACCACTAACAATTCTGTACACATTTTTTGAGTTTCCGGAATTGAAACGGTCAAGCGTTTTTTGACACCAATTGACCCTGGCTGCTTTCTGCTCTTCAGTCAGCAGGTGGGGTATCCAACGAGAAACTAATTTTCGCACTCCTAATTCTTCATGTAAATTTTTTTGAATTGAGGTCTTTGAGATCTTCAAGGACGCCTCAATCTCGTGATATGTCACAAGTCTATCTTCAGTGATGAGTTTGCGCACAGGTTGGTGATACTTAAAAATTCACTGTAGTGAGAACACTGCACGTATTGTTGTGAAACTTTAAATTTAAGTTTACTAAAGAGTGAGGTCAAGATTCAGTACTGACCTTCGATCCGCGTGGCCTACTATGTTTCTATATGCAAAACTCCATCGTATATGTGCTCATATTGTAGAACGTTTAACGTATTTTTTAATATATACTGTTATTTATATTTCACATAATATTTATCATTTGCAGCCATTTATTTTACTTTTGAGGTGCCAATGTTAATTATATCTGTAATGTACTGTAACTTGTTGAAATAAACAAACTATGTGCATTAGCTGAAGAGATTTTAGCCAACGCTTGGAGATTATGGAGGGCGTAATACAATGCGACTTGATTATAGTCGGAAATGTTGTCCCCAGTTCGTCCAACTTCTCATTCCTAAGTAACGGAGTGATCGACTAATTTGGTGCATTGAACGGCTTAACTGGGACCTCGAATGAAATACCGTTGTCTCAAGTGATGACATGTTTTGTCTCAAATGCGGGCGCTCACCATCCTACTCTTCCAACAAGATAAAGCTCGACCACATGTAGTCCATTTTGAAGACAACAAGGCCTTGGCCACCACGCGCCACTGACGCGTTTCATTAGCTAATTTCCTCCGAACTAAAGCATATTGGACGAAAGATTTCTTTGTCGGAAATCCATGCTCCACTGATTACTTCAGGCGTACGACCGTCTTGCCGCTGGACATCAACAAAGCTTGCGGATCCTGACTTGATTGCTGCTACTGTACTGATAAAATTCGCGGCAGAGTTAGCTCGTTTGTTGCTTCGCGTCACTTTCAGGTATCTTACGAATCCGGTACTGTCCCAGAAGGACAGAAGTTCAGTCCCGTCCCGAAAAGAAAACGACGTTACAAGTACAGACCTATCGTTCCACTTCCTGTGATGAGTAAGGTGATGGAGAAGTACATCAATAGGAATCTTCTCTAGAACATCTCGAGCTTGATTAGGCTTCCGGCATGAGCGATCAACTGTGGACGCCCAGGTTTACGCCTTGCAACTGTGGAGTGAACTTATCCCGTCAGGTATGATATAAAGCAAGCTCTCAGCTGATAAGCCCTCGCCGAGAAGCTTTGCAGATAGATGCAAGATGATTGCCATAAGTGATTCTCCTCTTGATCCCACAATTCCATAATCTTAACGCGGATCTTCCCGAAGGAATGATTCTGGCTCCAACATTGTTTTTATTAGGTATCAGCGATCTCCTCTCCTGTATGATTAGTCCGATCCACAGCTTTGCTGACGGCTGAAAGCTACAGAGGGCAAAGCCGAAGATAGGGATGAGAAAACTTCTAGCGGCTTCCTCTCTTACGAGATATCAGGAAGTCACTACTTGGGGACGCTGCAATTTTCCAAGAAAACGTTGATCTCGGCTGGTCGTTAACTGTGGACTTAATTTGGCATGAACACATCTCATCAGTGGCTTGAGCTGCTTGGAAACGTTATACTATCATCCACATATACAGGGTGACTTTGAAGTTG